AATTGTGATTACACCTTTAAAGGATTGGAAAAAACAGTTCCAGAGGCACTCAACTCTGTATCATTAGAACAAATACGCAAATATGCAAGGTATTCTTGGAGATTTATTGACGCCTACTGTAAAGGATTGACTAGTTCCCGTGCCTTATATGCTGTAAAGAAATATAAATCTCATAGGTGCATTCTTGAAAATGTTGCAATGGAAGAATAGTAATAATGTATATGTAAAATAATATATATAAATAAAAATTTTTTATTTTTTTTTATTACACGCAAATCACGTGAAGACCATTTTTGGAAAACTTTTAAAAATTATTGCATTTTTGAACGAATCACGAAATCGCTATTTTTGAAATTTGAGCGCGTGGCGCAGCAATAGGAAGTCTTTAGACCGAGCCAACTATAGAACTTGCTTCCATTAAAAATCAAGGAAATTACATATGCTTTTTAACACTTTTTTTTTTCTAATTCTAGTGAATAAAACGTCAAAACAAACTGCCAGTACTTTACCATGTTTATTCGCTTCACTTGCTCAAGAATATCCCAAAGTAATGCGAAACTAATGATGATCAATCTTGGAGGCATGCATCAGGATTAACAGCAAAGGAACATATAAAACCTTTTGCTAAATATTTTCCTGAATTACAAGTTAGTAATGGTAAACACTAGACCACCAGCTAATATTCTACCATGTTTGCATTTAAGATCTTGCAAATAAATATCAAAAAATGATGGAATCTCATCACTAAGTATTTATTCAAAGTTATACTTTTATGAAATTTAAATTTAATTTCTAATTTATTCATATAGAATCAACTACTAAATTTTATTTAACTTTTCTATAGTCTCGATCATATTAGAGCTATTTATTTATTTATTTTTATTATATAAAATTCGGCATAGAATTTATTTATATCCAAAAACTTAGCGATCATGAAGTAATCTGTTACATAAAAAATTCAATGGAAATAAATCTTACATTAACTTACATAAGATTTATTTTCCCGATGTGCCTAATTTGCTATATATTTCTCTAAAGAAGTAGTACGTTATAGATCGTTGATTGATATTGACCTTTTCTCAGTTAATATTAACAATTAATTTAGTCATTTGGACAGTGTCTACTAGTTTTACATAATAGTAAGGTTTGATTATTTATATTCATAGCAATGTTGAAATTTTCGGTTTCGGAAAAACCAATCCAAATTGTCTTCGTTGACCTTCATTGTAATCGAGTGGCCTATCTTTTTGTGGTATTCCCATATTTTGAAAACTATTTTTTTGTTAAAAAATATGATTAAAGAAGTTAAAGAAGATGATTAATTCGTTCATTTTGTGTTCCAAGTAGCAACTTTTACATTTCATCATTGCCGTTGCTACCGACATTAGGTTCCCACCTTTTTTATTAGCAGAGTTGTAATAATACTACTTGTATTTATGGTCCCACACTCAAAAGAAACATCAGAACTTTCTTCCTCGTCACCATCAACATTTATTTGTTCATTCACTGACGTACGTTCATTTATTTATTTATTTATTTTATCAATCCATTTTCTCTGAATATTCCAATTCAACTCGCTATTTTCGATCTCCTAAAAATTTTATCCGAAATCACTCACCGATTGTCCTAATATTAATTGCCAATGAAAATATTACAGAAACGAACAACAATTTTATACACGATTTTATTGTGCAATTTAAATTTAGTTATAACAAATAATAAAGTGTTTAAGTACTAACTACACTACTTCACGAATGTCAATATTAGAATAAAAGACATATTTCAATTACTGCGGTATGTAAACTTGAACCAACATAACTGCTCAAAAATTCTGAAATAAGTGCCAAAAAAAAAAAAAAATAGTAATAGTAATTATAGTTCCATAATAACGGATCTTTATACGAATCGAGAATTTATGTCCGATTTATATACTCATTATTACTATCTATAATATCTATAACGAACCCCTTCTATGACAGACATTTTTTCTTAATATTAATACCAAATGGTCCGTTATATAGAAAGTGAACGGCACTATACTATACGAACTACACTATTTTCCACCATTACACTCTCATTTGCTTACTCTCGGTTGCAATTCTACTAAAAAATAAACAATTATGAGTATTGTGGGTATTTAATCATGGTATTAATAAAAGCATTCGTTTGTGAGTTTTACCCACTCATTCGTGAGAGTTTGTGTTTTTTAAGGGTGTTTTCTCAATAACCTACATAATAAATGTTGATTTTTTTGGTACCAAAATAAAGAGAAGACCTTGAAATTTATGAATCTTATTTTAAGTTTTTGCTTTATAGTGAAATAAAACGTTTTAGTCTTATAATTGAAAATGTATTAGTATTAGTATATTAATATTAATATTAATTATTGTCGATCACGGACAGAAAAGTATTTACTATTATGGTGTCATTTGTAATTGTTTTCCATAAAGCTGTGGGATGACAAACGAATATATATCTGCTCCTATTGTTTCAACATTCTCGGCAGACAAAATTAACACTGTCATAATACATGGAACAGTAGAATATGTCAACCTGCATGTATTTCCTTCAAGCCCAGTGATGCAATTGCTGGTGCCTCTAATCTCCCTTCCACAATTCAATAAACTCTCCCTTCTTTTCAAGTTCAATATCGACCATTATATGCGCCAGGAAAAAATTATTCGCGCTTTCAATATCGATAAAAATACAATGGAAGTCTCTTCCGGTCAAAAGAACTTAACTAGTTAAAACCATAAAAGAAAAATGATTGATTTCCTTTTTGGTATATGAAAATAAACCATGTGTGTGATCAAAAGTTATTAAATAACCATATTAGTATAGACATTGATCACCTAAAAAAGAAATTTGATTGACTTTTTTTATCATTAATTCATTTTTCTCAAATGACGATGAATCTGGTCATCTTCGGAGTGGTAATTATATATTTTGGTAGAAATTTTAACCCTCCCACAATGAGATTTTGCCAACCTGCTTTAAGTGAACTAGAGTAAAGCAACGAATGGTATACATTATTGTTTTACAAAGATTTTTTAATCATGCTTGACATCACATTACATCGTATTGAAAAATAACCGCCAATTGGCAGTACAATTGAGGTTTTTATATTAACTAATAATATATAAAGATCTGCTATTATTATAATAATCCAATTTTAGATAATTTCATAATTACAATATTTATTATCCTATTTGTTCTATTGTTTTTATTAGTTTGTATAGTTGTATTACATTTTTGAAACAACCTTTAAAAGAAAAAAAAGTAAAGCTAATCTTTTATAGTATTCGCCAAGAGCCACAAGTTTCAATACTTGTTATGTAGTTAGTTGCTTTGGTTTTTATGCACATTTAAGTTAATGATCTACATCATAAATGTCTTTTTATCCAAATCAATTTTTATAAATTTATTTGTATGCTAATATAACTTACTCAACTACATTTTTTTATTTTCTTTTAATACCTCCTTTGGCTTTAATAATTTTCATGTTCTTTAGAAGTTAATTTTTTTTAATTATTTAACTAAAAAAAAAACCTTGTCTTCACCACCATTATCAACACAACGACTATTATATTCACAAATACTACACAACCATTTGCATCAAAATGAATCCACTACAAACTGTAATTTCTTCCTCTTCCTCTACTCCTTCTTCCTCTTCTCCTTCTTCTAATTATCAACAACAAAAAGACTACCAACCAAGCAATAATTTAAATGGTGATTCATCTGTATCTTTGCTTCAACAAGTAATTCATGAACGTAATTTGTTAAAGTCGCAAAACGATCAATTATGGAAACTCGTAGAAAAACAAAAGGCTACGATAAAGAATCTACAACTAGATAATCAAAAATTAATTAGTGCTAGAGATAAACTTCTAACAAAACTTAAAAACATTGATACACTTAAAGTCAGTAGCCTGGAAGCACCTGACGATGTTACTTTATCAGTTCCTATTAATAAAAATGGTAATGAGAACTTTGATAATAGTAATAATAATAATAACATTAATATCAATTCATCTAACATTGCTGATAATCAATTTGAATCAACTGTGTCGATTCAATATGATAATCATCAAAGTCTTAATAATGATAATAATAATAATAATAATAATGATAATAATAATAATAATAATGATAATAATGATAATAATAATAATAATTCAAGAGAAACCATATCAAATCAAATACATCCACAATCTCAGCAAGCACAATCTAAACAAACACAAAATGTTAAACAAAATGATAATGATAGTCAACAACATCGACACCCTCAATCAAATTCTTCTATACAAATACTTCTTCCCTACCAACCTATTCATAACGATTCCATAAGTTCTATACTTTCGAATTCAGGAACTTCTGTTAATGCTCTAGCAGGTAACTATGCCAATCTAGAATCACCTAATACTTCTAATGCTACAGTTAAAGATGATAACAACAACAATAATTCAAAGACACTTAATGATGAGCATGATTCACTAATATTAAATCCACCAAATGTAAATAATAATCAAAAATTAGATGTTTCTTTAAATGATAATACTATATCAACTACTTCAATGTCCACTGGCAATAAATCTTCTTCTCCTAGCCCTATAATTCCTCCTAAATCCTCTCAACGTCAAAGTTCAATCAGAATTAGTAATAATCTTATTCTAAATTCCCCTTCTCAAAAACCTGACAGTTTTAATAATGATAATAACCATGAATTCCAAAACGATAATAATTCTCCACATCATCGTCCTCTTTCACCATCAAATTCAATAATGTCAGTTAACTCGGCTAAAAGTTATCACAATAATGTTAATGCTCAATCTATTAATGTTGAATCAGATATTAATGATCCTGATCCACTTGGTCAATTTCCACAACCTACTCATAGAGATCCGCCTGTCTTAACATCCCCAATTTCACCTAATAGCAATATTAGCAACAATAACAATGACAATTATAAGGAAAATCTCGATGAAAATGAATCATCGGTATCCTCTTCACCTACTTCATCTGTCATATCGTCATCTTCATTTACTAAAAATAACAACTCACTTAATGTGCCCGAACCTCTCGGCTTACTAGTTAATAAAAATCAACTAACTCCGCCGCATTCTCCCGGACTACCTAGCTCTCCTAAAGCTTTCCTACATCATAATTTATCGAACACTAGTATTAATAGTATGAATAATGATAATCCAAATCCCAGCCACCAAAACATTTATCAAATGAAACAACCGTCTGTCAAATCTCAATCGGTTCAACATTTAATAAACTTACCTAATAACAATAACAAAAATAACGACGGCAACAACGATAATAATGAAAATGATAATGATGCTGATGTTGGTGATGAAACAAAGAACTCTTCTAAATATTCTCGTATTCATAGCGATTCTAATGAAAATAATAGAGCTCTTAAAACTAGTAAATCGTTTGATCGTTACGAATCAAATAATCATCGCTTATTAAATAAGAATAGTAACGGCTCATTATATATTCCTCCCATAAATCAAGAACATAGCAATAATGTGGTCATATCTCCTCCTAGTAATAAAAATAACACAGAGAATAGCTCTTCACCTGAACGTGTAATGCGTCATATAAAAAAAGCCTCTTTACCTGATGTTAATACGATTACAAATCAATCATCATTTTATCAACAACAGCAACAGCAGCAAAACCAGAGGCAACAACATCAATATCAACAGTATCATCAACAACAAAATAATGTGCCACCATCTTCAGAAACTTCTTTGTTATCAGGCGATTCTATATCTGGTATTACTGTTAAAGTGATTGGAAGTAACAAAAAAATAAATGATAAGGGTAAAGAAGTTTTAGCGTTTGTAATAGTTGTTGGTAAATCAAAGGTAGTGGATGCTGTAGTTGTTGGTATGGAGAAAGAATTATGGAGGATTGAAAAGTTATATTCCGATTTCTTGGGATTGGATAGTAAGGTAATATGCGTACAATTATGTATATTTGTATAATAATTATAAATGTGTGTAATTCATGTAATTAATATTTATGTATATTAATAAAGTTAAAACAAAAGCAGCTCAAAAGTGTTGCAAATAAAATTGGTAAATTACCCGATAAAACTCTTTTTCACAATAATTCACCAAGTAAAGCTGATCAAAGAAAGGTTAGTAAATATATTATTTATTATTATTATTATTATATTATATTATATTATATTATATTATTTATTTATTTATTTATTTGCAAATTAATATACATCTGTTGAAAAATCGATAGTTGGCTTTGGAACACTATTTACTACATGCAATTTCTTTAAATTTAAACGATTCTAAAGATTTGTATGAGTTTCTAAGTTCAGATGTTGTTGAGCCAGATGACAAAGATGATCAGGTTAGCAATCATAATAAATAAATATAAATTTGTTTGATTGTTTATATGGATTAGAATATATATGTTTACTAAATAATATTATTTAGTTACGTGGTCGTAAAGAAGGTTATCTTACCAAGAAAGGCAAAAGTTTTGGTGGTTGGAAAACTAGATATTTTGTTTTAGATGGTCCACTTTTGGAATATTATGAAAGTGTAAGTTGAATATTTAATTTTATTTTATTTTCCAAATTGTAAAATTTACTTGCTATAAAATAACCAAATAACTAAAATTAATAGAAAGATGGCAGCCAACTTGGGTTCATTCGTATAACAAATGCACAGATTGGCAGACAAAGTAATGTAAATAACGATTCAGACAAAGATAGCGAAAACTCTTATAGACATGCCTTTCTAATCTTAGAATCAAAACCCAATTCCAAGAATGCACAAACAAGACATGTTTTATGTGCAGAAAGCGATTCTGATAGAGACGAGTGGATAGAAATATTACTACAATATGTTGGAGTAAGTGAGGAAGAAGCAAAAGAAAAGACAAAAAAAAGGAAAGATGTTAAAAGCAGGTTTCTGAAAGAAAGTATTTCCAAAATTGATGCACAACCTATTTCTCAACTTGATAGAAATGAACAAACTGATAAACTTATTGCTACTGATGTTGTTTTACAACAAGCTCAAAAAGATTTACAATCAAAAAATAATAACAACAGTAACAGTAATGTTAATAACAATAGTAATGATTCTAAATTACAACAATTACATCATCAACAATTTCAACAAAATCAGCAGCAGCATCATCATCATCCAAATTCATCTTTTAATAATGATCAAATTGACTCGTCAAAAAATATACAAAGTAATCAACAACAACAACATTACCATTCACAACCTAGTTTCCAACCGCCGCCGCCGCCGCCAACACAACCACCATCAATGTTAGGTAATAATACCGGGCATAATTTAATATCTCCAAGAGATGAGTCAGAAAAGATTAAAGGTAGTACACTTGAACCAAAAGATCCTTTGCCTCTTGGTAATAGCACAACACATTTACACAAGCAATTAAGCCTTAGAAGAGATCGTCACAATGATGAACATAAAAAAGCAGTAAGAAAAACTTTTTTTGGTAGTATGTTTGGTAGTAAAGATGATAAAAAGAAATATCAAGATCCGAGACCAGATTCTAATAAAGTTGTATTTGGAGTTTCACTTGATCAGGCTATTGCCGTCTCAAGAATAAAAGAAAATTATGAGCTACCAGCTGTCGTTTATCGTTGCATTGAATACTTGGATGCTAATAATGCAGCTGAAGAAGAAGGTATATATCGATTAAGTGGGGCAACTGCCACTATAAAAAGGTTAAAGGAACGATTCAATACAGAAGGCGATGTTGATTTATTGAGTGAAGAAGAATATTATGATGTGCATGCAGTAGCTGGCTTGTTGAAACTCTATCTTAGAGAATTACCAACCAGTGTACTAAGCAGAGATTTACATTTGGAATTTGTAAACGTTATTGGTATGCCATTTTAATAAATAAAATTAGAAGTAATTATATTATATACAACAACGATAATAACCTATATTTTTTTTAGATTTACTTGGTAGAAAAGATCGTATAAATGAACTTGGTCGACTAGTGTCTGCATTACCATTATCCAACTATACACTGTTAAGAACATTGACAGGACATTTAATAAGAATTGTTCAAAATGCACAAATCAACAAAATGACTGCAAGAAACATTGGAATAGTTTTTTCGCCTACGCTTGGTATACCAGCTAGCGTGTTCAGTTTATTCATGGCAGAATTTGACTACATATTCTTTACTAATAGTGATGGTGTTGCAGCACCAAGAACAATGGACGCATCATCGGAAGAACCTGATGTTTCAAAGGTTAGTGTTTGCTTTTTAAAAAATGGTTTAAAAATGACAATGAATTTATTATTAAAATGAAATCTTTATTTTTACAGAATTCTCCAGTCGCACTATTACCTGTAACAGCTGTTCGTCGTATTGACATTCGTGATGAACTCACAGGTAGAAATAATCGCAACAGTGTACATTACATGGATAGTGCACCTGAGAAAGTTGTGGGTTTAGAAAAAAGAATGACAGGTTAGTTCATTTAGTTTATGAACACGCTATGCACACATTTACACATGTATTAATGAATAATTTATAATAATTTTAAAAATAGTAACTAAACCCATTCGTCAAAATGATGATACGTCAGATGAAGAAGATGTTAATGATCTTGCAATTCAAGCAGAACAAGAAGAAGAAGAAGATGATGATGAATATGATGATTCATCTATAGACGAAACAACAACACAATCAGTACCAACATCACCAAGGCTACATACAACACAACTCCCCACAATGAATTCCGTACCAACATCAAGTGATTTAATAAAATCGAACGACACAATAGATTCGATGCCTGGAGTATTTTCTGAACATCAAAAACAAGATTACGAAAATGAAAATATTAGTTTACCAACTGTTAATCAGCCCATGAACAACAACAACAACAATAATAAATGATATTGGACGGAAATATATACAAATTAGTGGCGGTGAATGTGAAATGGCAATTTGTTGTAAATAAAATTTAGACTATTTTTCAAAGACTTTAGGGATATTTCTCAATCAACACTTATTTATTTATTATTTATTTATTTTGTTAATAGAGAAATTATAATTTTAAGTGTATTATTATTATTTTAAATATTATTATTTTGTATATATATATATAATGTGTTATTATTATTATAAATTTAAAATTTCGCACCCCAAAATGTTGCAATGATCTCAAAAAAAAAATTTTTTCTTTGATGCTATGCTTTAACGCAATGAATGAAATTTATTGGTAAATATTAATTTACTTTTTTATAAATTATAAAATGGAAGAAAATGATGAATAATCTTTAAATTTTTTAATAACTTTCGTTCTTCTGAATATGGAATGATGTTATCATCCTTTGTGGAAACTATTATTTCTGATTTAAAAAAAAGTTTTTACATAATTATTGGCATTATATAATTATAATTAATTCTTTTCTAATTCAATACTTTAGAATATTTAAAGTTCTTTAAAATCTTCAAACGGTCTATCGCTTATTGCCACATGTAAGAATGTAAATAATAAAAGGAAGTCAGAAAAATAATAAATTAGTCAGAATACAAGAAAAATTGATTAAAAAGTTACTCGTCTAATATCCTCCCATCCTTTACTTTTTTTTGACAAATTTTTTTAATACCAACTTCCAAAAAAAAACTTTACCATCGAAAAAAAAGTTTTTCAGAAACGACGATTCTATATAGATTGAAATAGTCGACACAATTTTAAAGTTTCAGACAATATTCATTCATAATAATCATAATCATCATATCAAGATATGGTAAATTAAAAATTTTATTTGGAACAATATGCTTCGAGTTAGATAAGAATCATAGAGTATCATGGGAATTAATAGTTGTTAATCGAACACAATTTTTTAGACTATTAAAGAAATAATATTGGCAATTAAAATATTGGAATAAAATAAAGTTCTTGTTGTCTGTCCGATAATTGTCTTTGTGAATTTGTGATTGCACACAATTTGGTGTCATATTTTTGCTTGTAATAGGAATATATATTGTATCATATTCATATTCTTGAGGTCTCGAACAATGGTACATAAAAATGATGATGGATTGTTACATTTTTATTATTATATTTGCAAAAAAGATCATGATTGTAAATAAATGTTTTGTTTACAAAAAATGGGAAAATTAATAAATAGAAGGATGTGTATTATTTATTTATTATTAATTCAACGGCAAATAAAAAAACGAGTTGAAATTCAAGTTTTTTGTTGAAATTATAAAATTTTGTCAATTGAAAAAAAAATTTATTTGTTTGTACATATGTTTATCACAAAATATATTTAAATAAAGCAAATATAATAAATATAAACAATTGCATGTTTCATGTACATTTGTGAATGATTGATTGATTGATATGATTAGAAAGGAGATTTAGCAAGACGAAGGTATGGTTTAACGGTTCTATAGCCAGGGAATAATTTATCAGCTTCTTCATTACTGACACCTGGATGAACAATAACATCATCTCCTTTTTTCCAATTGGCAGGGGTGGTGATACGGTGTTTATCACCAAGTTGAAGTGAATCAATTACACGAATTATTTCATCAAAGTTACGACCTAAATAGTGATAAACATGATAATAGTAACACAATTGATTGATTAATAATATTATTATAATTAAAATATTAACTACAAGTATCTACAAATGAATACTAACCAGTTGATGCAGGATATGTGATGATTGCACGAATTGATTTCTTTGGATCGATGATGAAAACACTTCGAACAGTGAATGGAATTCCTTTGCTATCAATGTTGGTAGGATCTTGATAATCCAACATGTCATATAAAGTTGATACTTTACGATCAGCATCGGCAATGATTGGAAAACCAAGTTTTACGTTACCAACTTCGTTGACGTCCTCAATCCATTTCAAATGATCAGTTAACTCATTGGCTGACAATCCAATAACTTTAACGTTACGTTGTTCAAAGTCTGCTGCTCTGCGAGCAACTTCACCAAGTTCTGTGGTACATACTGGAGCTATATAACAAAAAAGAATGATATATGGATGATAATCGATTGTTAATAAATGATATAGATAATAAAAAAATACACATTTATCAATTAATTAAAATACTTACTGAAATCAGCTGGATGAGAAAATAAAATTACCCAAGAGCTACCGATAAATTCATGAAAATCAATATCTCCTTTGGTGGTTTTTGCTTTGAAGTTTGGAGCCTCATTTCCAAGACGAAGAACCATTTTGAATTAATTTTATTAGTTTTTTTTTTAAAATAAGTTTTTTTTTTGTCGTTGAAATATTTTTCACAAAGGAAAATTGAATTGTTGAATTGTTGTTATTTTTCGTAACTATTTATAATTCAAAAAAAAAAAAATAATCATTTTTTATCTAAAAAAGTCTATTGGTTAGAAATTGCATCATTAACTTTAATTGGCAATAGCACGTAATTTTGGAGTACTATTACCATTATTACTAGTTGTAAAACTATATTTTTGATATTGTAGAACTATATCTATTGATTAGTAATTATTTTTTGTATGAAATATTAACTAGAATAGTTGTTTTGTTGTTTTAGATTAAAGTATTAAGGTCAAGAGGATAACAGAATTCATCCGTCTATGAGTATAGAGTAATGCATAATGATCGAAGAGAATCTAAACATAGCAGTAGCAACTATATCAAACTATATCACCCAGCAAGCAACAGCGCAAATTTCTATTCGTTGATCATCTTTTTTTTAAAAAAAAAGAGATATGTGTAATGCATATATATTGGGTAATAAATAAATAAAATAATAGTAATTATATTTTTAGGAATTTGTTGTTTAAGATTTCAGCCCAAAGGAAGATAAAAAGTTAAATTAATAACACTATTCTATTTCAGTATTAATTAAGTTTTAATATACATTAATTAATTTTAGTAAACGTTAATTGGTTTAAACATTTTACCCACATTTTAATTTTTTATTTCATTGCGACCATAGTTTCAATTTTTTCATATGATAAAAACAATCTTGTCAGTAAATAAAAATTGCTGATCGATCTTTTTTCTTTGATAAGATTAACTAGGTTTTAATCAGTATACACAGTTCTCATTGATTATTAATTATCAATGAATCTGAAACTCGTTAACTAAAATAAAATTCTAAAATTAAAAGCTTTGATTGGAGACGAGTTAAACTCAAATCCTAAACCATTCTTTAGTAAACGTTATTTTTAGCCTGACCCACTCAATTTATTTTATTATTTCGCTCTCTCGTCCCTAATTGGTGACATTATTATTATCCATTTACAAATTACAAGGACTTAGAGGCCTTCTTTCTTTACTTTTAATTCGAGAACGTCCACACTATAGATGGTATCAAGATTTTTGAACAAAAATTACTTTTGATTCTGCGATTTTTACCGAAAAAATGTGCTATCTTTTTTGAGGTTTCGGTATATTGATTTGCGTGTTTCAACGCGCGTTGTTTGTTACAAAACAAACTTTAAAATTTCCAATGTAATAATTATCGAGATATGAACTCTTCTCTTATATTACGGATTAATAACAGAATTAGTTGATTTTTGTTTAATTATTAAAAATGAACGAAAAAAATAGATTCAAATAAATATAAGAAACAATCTAATTTTTGACTTTGTAGTGCTTATATTATTCAAATTAAACTATATCTAGTAACAATTTTTCCGAGTATCTACTCGTCTATTTTCCTTCATAATTGCTTGCTTTAGTAATTAACATATGTATCTCTGTTACTAAATCAATATTTTTGTTATTAACGTTATTAAATATCGAGACCTGACCAAAAAGTCTGTCAAGCATCCAAAGCTTCTTCTGTCATACGGTAACTATATTGTTGACCGCAAATTTTCGATAGATTTTTAATAATATAAATTTAACCAATTAAATTACATGAATTAATCCCATAATACATAAAAACTTTTTTGAGAGTTGATATATAAGTCAAAATTTCACTATACTAGTGTTGGTCTGAGTGGCTTCAGACTGTAACTCTGCTTCTGGAGAACAGAAATGTGGAATACTTCACATTTGGACCAACAATCTCTAATGCTGCACGTTGAAAGCAGTGTCTCATTTGAACTTTGTGTGAACATTCTGGTTTATTTGTAAATTTGGGCCAGTAGGTTCTTAAATAGCAAGGAAAAAGCCCGAGGCTGGAAACAGAGCAGGGAAAACTTGCAGCACTAAGTGGCTATGAGGTAGCACGCTTGAGTGATGAGTCATTAAGGGTTGCCAAGTATGTAGTTAGACTGCAATTTCGAATTTTTTTTTTCATACATCTGATATTGCTGAGAGTGTCCAACTTTATCAAATAGGTTTAGGTCGCATATCATTACTATCAATAATAATTAATCAAAAAAAAAAATAATAATAATAGAATTAGAAATCTCTTCGGAAAAAAGCAATAATGAACAAAAGTTTGAATGAAAAAATTATAGAAGAAATAGATTCCAAGGAATCAAGATTCATGTAACTAATTATAATAATGATTACGGATATGTCTTTCAGAGTTCACGATGTTGTAAAGGATCTAATGAGGTAATTCACATTATAAATTCTCATAATTATTATTATAATTAGTATTAATACGTTCAGGTTGAATGTTTAAACCATCGGAGGTTACAAACATATACATTTCGTAGAACATATAATAACCATTTTACATAATAATTAATCTATATAATTATATATAATAATATAGTTATTCTCACACTTGTAGGTAACTTCTCTTTTTTTTGCACACTGTTTTTTATGGTTTCATAGCAAAACTTTTTCCCAATTATCCATCCCAACGAATTTATTAATTGATGAAGATAGTATAGCGTTAGAAGTAGAATTAATAGTAGTAGAAGAATCAGAAGCAATAATCAACCAAAAGATCTGTTCAAAATTTCAAGTCTATATACCATTGACTATTCTCACTTAACGTTAGGAATAACGTTTGTAAGATCACACAAATATTAATTTCAATGATGTGGTTCGGATCTTTTCAACTCTGAATACCTATAGTTTTGGGTCAACTGGTGACGTTGATGTTGATAGTAATAGTAATAAGATCAATGGACATGTCGACATGTTTGCAACAGTTTTGTTTCATGATTATTATTTCTTCTAGGAGTATTTGAAGCTTCTTGGAGAAAGTATAAGCTAGGCAATTTTGAAACGGTGTCATGAAGATTATTATTGTTTGTTTGTGCAAAGTGAGTCAATTATCATTTATTTCTCATGAATACTTTAAAAATAATTCGATAGAAAATGGCAGATTAAGAAGAAAAGGTAAATCAAAATAATACATGTTCCACTTGCCAAATCATAAATCGTAAAATTTAAAATTTAAAATTTATATTTTATCTATTATTAATAATAGATTTACGAATTCATTTTAGAAGAGGATTTCGAAAAAGAACTTGCCATGAATAATGATGAATGTAAATCACATTATACCATAAAAAATCTATCGAGCTTTAAAGCACATAAATATTCATTATTTTTGTTGTTTTCAGATAGAAATAAATTTATTAAAAAAAAAGCTTGATGAATCAAGACCATTTAAGAAAAAAATTGACAAATGTATGAAATAAAATTTGATCCTTCGACAATTACTGCACAATCCATCTAAATGTAATTAAAATGGTAATTTTTAACAATTATTTTCATTTTTAAAGTTTAATAATATCAATATCATTTTTATGGTAAAGTGTTTTTTATCAGATTGAATCAACTATACCAGATGAATTGCTCGAATAAAACCAAGATTGTTGCAATTGTTTATTTATTTTTATTTTCAAAATTATCATTAAATCTATCATTCAATAAAATCTTTACATCTAGAATATATTATCAATCAAGAATGACATCGAGATGTCCTTTCATAGTTTCTAGCCATTTTCATATAGTAAGGTGCAATTGTTTTTAATATCATTTATCAAGTTTTTTTTATGCTTTTCACGTTAGCAAGTTGCCATCATCACCATCAATAACATCTATATTTCCATTGTCGTCATTGTCAACATCGAAGATTTCAAATACGACTAATATTTTCCCGGCAATGGTGATGAAATTTATATTCTTTTCCGGTAGATCGGTAGACTTTGAGTGTACGCAAATTTGTAGCCAAAAAACAAAAGGCTTTATTTGTTTGATTGCAAATGGCATGTCTTTATTGGTTGTTAAATCAGAAATGACATTTTATTTGTACAAATTTTTCTGCTGGATCTATTTATACGACTTTAATATTTAATTATAACAATTTGCATTCCATTATCTATAAACATGTGATCTATGAAAATTTGCTTACTTTTTTCCATAGCCACGCACAAATTAATAATAAATAATTAACACGATAGAATTTCACATTTATGGTCCTCAGATGTCTAATTATTACCATTACCATTACCATTACTACTACTACTATTATCATTATCTACGTTTTTATGTACACTCATCAAAAATCATCGGATAAAAATTACAATTTTTTAACATGGTTATGGCAGGAAAACAAAGAAATATTATGCTGATAGAAAGTATTAGAAAATGTTCTGTCGGTATAACGTCCTTTCAGTATAATGGTGTCAGGGAAACATCGGTGGATCGGAGTAGACCTATAATAATAATGTGATTAAAGACACTTGCCGTAAATGATTGAGCTGGTAGCGTAAATAGCTGTTGGTAGCTACCATTTGCCATAAATAATTACGGCTGCCGTAAATAGATGCAGATGCCGTAAATAGATACGGCTCTGCAAATAGCTACGGCTGCCGCAAATAATTACGACTGCTGCAAATAGTTTTCAATTACTGTCATTAGTATTATTAGTCGTATTAGTCGTGCGAAAATTATTTGTAATTTGCAGTAACTGGATTTTTTGAATTGTAATTGATGAATTCAATCAGTCGGTCATTCATTTACAATGAGATTATGTGTAAAAATTAGAGGTTGGAATCGACCAAAAAATCCTTAGTCGACTACTAGTTGGTCAAAAATTTCTTTAGTCGACCAAAATTTTTTTTATAATAATAATAATAATAATAATTCTTTTTTTTTTAATTTGCAAATTACGAATTCATTTCCATTTGAATCTTTCACTTTTTCAAAATGCTTCCACACAAACTATGTGTTACGATTCGTTTTTTTAAAGGTCTTCTGGAACCACCGCTTAAATCATTGGAACTTGAAGCTAATGAACTCTTTGACCTTGTATTGGAAGTGTTTATTCATT